CGCTCTAATAGTTCTGTCGTCACAAATTTAACTAATTTAATCGTGTTATGCCTATTATTGTCAATCTGAACTTACTCATAATATTGTTGACATGGAGCATCATTAGTGTATCATCAAGCAACCTAGTGTAAATTGTAACAACCTCCTTGAGGTTCGATCATTAGAAAATCACCGAAAAATATCAAACAATAGATAAGAAAAATGTGCACGCTTATAAAATCAAGCAATAATTTCATCACAATTTTCGTCTTGTTCGTCTTAGTTACTCCTAATATACATGACAATTCTTGTTGTTGATTTCGTACGTCAGTAAGCAGTTAAACAACCATATATTTTCAAATAAACGCGTACACTTCTGTATTTAGAAAAATCGCAACAGCTAGATTTGCCTCAAAATAAAGGGAATTGCTAAGGTCCGTTACGGAACCATCCCGTCGGGGTTTGTGGCCGTTAGATCATCATATAACGGTTATAAACTCCGACGGGATGATTCCGCAACGGAATCGTAGCATCTTCCCAAAATAAAATTTGCTCACATATAATGACAAGTGGGTAATTGGACGCGTACGCGAGCACGAAGAACAAGCAAGGATTCCATGCTCTAGAAAACTAGAGCAAAAGAACAAACAAGAAAAACAAAAAAACAGAGACAAATAATCAGAATTACATTTTGTCAGCGAAATTTCATTCTGAGGTGGTTAGGATGCAATGATTTTCCAGATCTGTACATAGACAACTGATTAGCGGCACCAAACCTACGCACTAAGTATAAAAAGCACAGGTGACGATGTTCGCGGGGACCACAAATCCGTACTCAATCCCCCATAATTTTAGCTTAATTATTATTAGACTCGAACTTCAAATAATCCTTTTAGGGCAGATAGAATGTGTATGTCATAGAGAATTTCATTAAGATATTTAATTGCCTAAATGTGGCGACAATTGTCCAGACATGAGTCTATGCCTTGGATTTGTGGTCCTTCACAACTCGTATGATTTGTTTGAACCAACTTTTATTTTAATTGGAACACGAATTTCGAGAGCACTACCGAGATTTTTTATTTTTTTTAACTTTTCATAACCTACAAGGCTACAAATACATTAAAATATGTTTAGTTTATGTAATTACATGAATCAGCGTACAAGTACCATAATATCAAGTCATACCTCAATTCTGGGGTCCGATTACACCAGTTGTGGGTAGAGGTGGTCATGGGTCACCCAGCCAGCCGACCCGACCTTGACCCGGCCTCGTCAGGTCCATGCATTTTATGGCCCAAGAAATCAAATGTAAATCTTGTTTCATTTTTTCTTTTTTCTTTTTTTTTTTGAAAATTGCTCCCTACACCATAAATTTAAGTTTTTATTACAAAATTAAACATCTATTATAAATATTAGCAATTCTACCTAAAATAATGTTTTATTTGTAGATATACCAGAAAATAATGCAAGCATTAAAAGAAACCTATCAGCTTCTCTCCCCCAAATCATGCCTCTTTCTCCTTATCTCTCTTCTTCGTTTCTCTCTTCCCCTCCCTCTCTCTTCTTTTTCGTTATCTCACCACCTCATCTCTCTCTCTCTCTCTCTCTCTCTCTCTCTCTCTCTCTCTTTCTCTATCAACGATCAATTATCCTCTCCCCTTCATTCTCTTTTTTTTTTCACTTGTGATCTGCGCAATCATTGAAATTTGACAGATTTTTGTAGCCCCAACGATGTATAACGGAATAGGGTTGCAGACTCAACGGGGCGCCGGCACCAGCGGCCACGTTCAGGCGAACACCTTCACCGTGAAGGCGAGGGCGAATAGAGTCGTCACCGGTCCGAGCAAGGATTTCAAATCGGGCAAAGGGGCTGGGAGCGTGACCCGAGGGCCCAATAGAGAGATACTGGAGGACGACAACAAGAAGCAGATATATCAATTTTTTTTAGTTGAGAGAAGAACTAAACCAAACGGTATATATGTTGTATATATGTAGTATATATGTAGTATATTTATACTTTTTTTTGTTGTTTGCGTAGTTGCAGGTATATGTTATGTATATGTTCTGTATATTTCAGATCGTGTCTTGTTTTGTAGATTTTTTTTTCCGATCTATAGAGTATATTTGTTGTATATTTTCTGTATATATATTGTATATTAACCCGAACCTATTTTTGTTTTGTATACATCACATAACACGAACGTCTTATTTTTGTTTTGTATACATTATTTCTTGATCATGGAAGAAATAATGTTGCTCAAGATTTTTCTTTGGTATTTTTGTTTGGAAGATGATGACGTTATGTTTTTTTCTTTCTTAAGAAGCGGATGAGTTGCTTAAATTACGGGCATCAGTTATCTTTTATTAGGTAACTGATATCTTATGCATATATGCAAATATTTTGTCTTATAACTGCTATATATGCAATAAAAAGTCCCTCAGTCACAAATTTGCCATATTATGTCTATCGGATAGGATAGATGTAAATTAGCCTTTTTTTTTTGAACGAGTCTCAGATTTGGGTTGGGGCCAATTCGTGTACCCAGACCGGGTCTAGATAAAGACCAGTCCAGGGTCGGTGTTTTCAAGCCTAGAGACCCACCGGGCCAGGCTGGGCCTAATTGCCATGTCTAGTTGAGGGTAGCTCATACCAATAGTGTGTGATTCACTAAATTGGCTTAAATCAAACTTGTTAAGGTTCATCACAAATTAGTAAAAGTTAAGCTACTGAAACTTGATACGTCAAGAATTTCCTGCATTGATATCATTTAATAACTAGTATTATGACTTAACTTATATACTCTATAATTCTATTCTATTCGAAAATAAGCGGATAATAAAATGTCTTGAGATTTTTTGTCCAAGTCTTTCATCACGAAAGAGTTTATTTTGCAAGTTGAGTCAACAATGCAACTCTAATTCAAGACTCGAGGTAGCTTGAATAAAGAGTCTCAATTGTACATCAATGGCATATAAAGAGAGTGTGTGTGTGTGTGAGAGAGAGAGAGAGAGAGAGAGATGGAGGTGAGATTTAGAATATCGAAACAAGCCAAAATTGCATGCAACAATATTTTCCCGAACTGGGCTCTTAGTTTCCATGGGCCTACCAATCGCCCAAGCTCACGGAAACAAACCCAGCCAAAAATGGGCTTAGCTGTCCGGCCCAAACTACAAATCTGGGCCAAGCATCTGCCTCTATTGATCTTCTGGAGGAAGCCGTATTCGTATGTCGACAGTGACGTATACAAAGGACAAGTGAATATAAACAAAAGCAATATCTGAAAGAACGCAGATATTCTGAAACAAACACTAATTGAAACAACAAATGAATAAATCAAAGTGTATTAGCACCATTGGTGTTTTCCATTTATCGACTGCAGAAGTTACAAATATTTTTTAATTTAACAAATTCACAAATAATATAGGAAAATGCTACGGTCTCGATACGCAACGAAACCATTCCGTTAAGTTTTCAACCGTTTTATGTACATGCTACACTAATCTACATGTGCCATGTGCATCTGACGGTTAAAAATCCCAACAGAATGGTTAGCCTTACCCAGTAATATAATAAACTCCCGATATAATTATTATATTCGTATAAAAGAACCTAAAAAAAAATAATTGCTGTGCAAGCACAACGTCAATTTTCATCAGCTTCGTATGAAAGAAACTAACGAAACAAGTCGTATTTGGTCGTGCACAAAGTCGATTTTCGTCGATTTCACCAGAAATTTAAAACAAATATCAGCTTAACAATAACATAATAGCATCTCCTTGCTAAATTATACGTCTCTTTCTCCACTGTCCATGGAGAAACACAGGTTGAAAAGCAGTTTGGATAGGCCCGCAGCCAAAACAGCTGTCTTCTTCGTACAAAAGGTGGACCAAAAATCTATTTCACACATTTTAAATATAAAGGCATTTGTACCAAAAAGAGTGTCGCATGCATAGAGCAGTTTATTAGTTTCACATCCAAAGCTCAATAAGTGTCCACTACACTACAAATCTATTGGCCACACTCAATTTAGCAACCCAACATTTCATGTGAGGGTGAAAAAACTTAGCCAGTGACATCTCATTAAAATAGAAAGGCCCCCGACACATGGCGAAACATGAGTGGGGCTCGGACAACAAATATTGGCTCCTTATTCACTTTCCGGCCAAGTACCTAATAAGAACTGCCCCAGACAAGGACATCCAAAAACCAGCACAGGAAATAATTTACTTGGGAGCTACAGCAAAAACCCTGGGAGATTATGATATATACAGAGCTTCTATTGTGCTTGTGATATGAAATTTACTTACAGATACACGAATTGTAGATTTCTGTTATACGTATAAAATATGAATTGATAAGTTAAAAAAAAATACCATTTTTTTTTTATCTAAGGAACCGTGTATTTGGATCCAGTGAACGTACTGGTGAAGCTCGAAGAGGGAAAAGAGAAACAACATATGATTATGAATGAATTTGATGGATCCCATGTATTAGGAAATTTTGGTGTATAACTGTATATATCTCCTTGAAATTCACATGAATTTCATAAGAGGGAAATGTAGAGGATCTGAATTCAAGAGTCCATTTTGCCTACTCCAAACATAGTGTAATCCGATCTCAAATTGGTAACTAATCTTCCAATTGGCTAAGCTGAGCTGTAAAGCAAAATTAATATGAAAATGGCATGTTGACCATTGTACAGTTGTAATTTTATCTCATCAAAAAGTCTTGATTTTGATTGGGAGCTATGAAATTTTCACTTTTCATAAACTCCACATTTAGAAGACCCCTACCAATTGCACCTCTTAACATCACAAACCCAAAAAAAAAAAAAA